TTGATGCTAAAACTCTGAGCAACCTACTCTAACTGTGAAGTTGGTGCTACTCTGAGAAGGAGACTGGATTAAGTGACCTTGAGGGTTCTCTTCCAACATAGATTAGTCTGCAATTCTGTGCATTTAAACCATCTTATATTTGCAGATATTTGGGGTGGGTAGGAGAATATGTGTTCAGAAACATATGATTTCCCTTAAAACTCTGGCAAAAAACAACCTGATCACATATTTTTGTTTAGTGTACATTTAAATAGCTAAAATACATTCACTTCTTTGTGTCACTTTTAGTAATTTCAATTTTAAATAAGTGCATATTTTTAATCTTTCCTATTCTTTCGTGTTCCCCCTTTTGAAGGTCAGGTCAATATAGGAAAGGAAGTAATCTCATTTGAATGCAAAAAGTAACTTTTTTTTTTTTACAACATTAAGTTGCAACTCAGACCTGTAGAATGACTGCTAAAACCAGAGGAACTGCACTTTAACTACCCATGGTAACAGTGACATACTATGTACAGCTACATAGAGCTATATACACCGCCTCAGTGTGATATCACCTCTGTTCCTATGTGCCACTGTTCTGTACCTAAGCTTTCACAGAATTACACTATGTTTTCAGAGCAGAGTTGAAACACAAGATCTACTCGTATGAAGCAGAGAAATTCATTACACAATGACCAATGAGGAGAAAGCAAAATATGTAATGGGTACCCATCATAAGGAAGAGCATTTTTTTTTTTCTTGACCTTTAATTAAGCTTTCTCTGACAGCAACAATTCTGGAGTAAGACCTAGTATGAGATTGTGCAAAAGAAAAAAATACAGTTGTAACTGCATAATTAAAAGCTATATAAAAATGAATGTACAGAGAGTGCTAAATTATGCTTATACAAGCAATCTTAATTATGGCATTTCTTGGTACCAGAGTGTTTGCCTTTCAAACACCTAATTTTTGTGTCAAAAGACATATAAGTACAACCTTATGATTTAACATATTAAATGTAACCTTTGTATGTTATTAGGTATAAATAAGGAAGATGTCAAGAATGCCACACAAGTAGAAACGAAGTCAATTTTGACAGTTAAAATGTGCTTTTAAAAAGTGCATTCTTGGTCACACTCATACAGCACTGTAGGGACTACAGCAAAGCAATGTCGGAGCTCAGCCAGGTGGCAGTGGTAGGAGAGCTCTTGTAGCTGGTCACACAGGTGGACATGCATGTAAGGAGAACCAAAAGGTACTGGCATAAGTCTGGGACCATGTGCAGCAAGGGGTGCTTTGGACCCTGAATCCCAGCTTGTCCTTTGGTCCACCACCCAGCCTCCACCTTGATTCCCAGTAACTGACAGCAGCAGCATCCCTGCATTCCCAGTATGTGATGGGATCAGTGCAAACTCAGCCATGAAATATTTTTAGAAAAAAAATTTCTACTTATTTTTAAAGTAAAAATTGGTGGAGTTCAATAGTTTTTATTCTACTTCTGTTCTGTTCATGGGATCCTTAGACATCATCAGGGGAAGTTTTTAAATGGCTTGAAGCAAAAGTGCTGTCCCTTCATTATGTGAGTATTTGCAGCACTCCATTGAGAGTCTTTATTCAGCTGAATCCCATAGAAGTAAATGGGAGTTTCGTCTGAAGAGGAAAGTGAAAAATGCTAAACTGACTGTTAACTTGTTGTTGGGGTTTGGGAGCACAGTTTCCCTACCCTCCCTCCCCTCCCCCCCACCCCCAAGATAGCTGAATCTAGTTCCTTGTGTCCTTTATTGATATATTTAAACAAACCACTGAAATACTACATTTTCTCAGAGATGCTTTCTATTATGTTTTCCTTTCTGTTTCACTAGTGTACTTAAGACGAGCCTCATTCAAGACACAAAGTTATGCTTTTTGTATGCTACGTTTCTCTAGCCACAGGCCAAAATAAATATTACTACTCCTAAAACCTCAAAGTCCTACTTATACGGAGTATGGCACTCACGAGCAAGCAAAACAACACAGAGATTAATTAAATATTACTGAAGGGTAATACTGAAAAGTAAGTCTGAGAAGTGGGGTTTCTAGGCTTTCGTTCACAGATCCACATAACAATCAAGGTTAAGAACAAATGATTACTCTTCTTCTTATTACAAACCTTCTAAGCCATAATATCCCAGCTTGCGGTTAAAGAGTACCAGCAAAGACAATCGTGCCCCAATGACAAAAAATGTGATGCCATTTTCCAGAAGATATATATGATTGTAATAGTGTATAATACAAACAGATCTGCGTGGCTGTTCACTAATAATCTCCTCAGTCTCTTCAGAGATTATTACCTCATTCTTCTAAATATTTCTGAGTCTTTGAATGCCTGTTTCAGTGTAATAAGGAGAAGTTGTAAAAATGTCATGACCCCTGCCCCCACTACTAAAACAAAAAAGGATGAAGCTAGCAAGCCTTTTGTAATAATGTATATTAACAATTTAAAGTTGTCTTCTCCATTGTATCAGCAGGTGATGATGGAAAAATTGATGTATGTATACATAGAATAAAAGCTATTATAAAAAATGCTTAAAAACCCTTTCTTTAATTTTATTTGGAAGAAGGATATAAATTATACATATAAAAAATAAACTATACCCAGCTGAACTATTATGAGGCTCTAATTTTAACCTATCAATTCCTAAAGCCATGTTGTGCAGGATCCTCTCACATGGTTTACAACCTCAGAGGCAACCCTCTGGTACTTACCTAAAGGTTATTTTTTATTCTCTGTTTAGAACTGATTCAGACCCAGAGCTTTTTCAAGGCTCTACATGCCATTCCAAACACACACACACACAAATACGCATGAGTATCATTACAGGTCTGAAGTTGCAGTTATTCCCAGATGAAAATATAAACAATAAAGAAGATTCAGTGCAAGACATATGAATGTGACTGAGAGACATAAAACTTATAATGATCCATTTTTTAAGATACCTGCATCTGTAAAACAGTTGGAACCTCTATAAGATCTAGGACAGGAGGATGATTTTTATGCATCCAAACAGTTGGGTATCTTTCCACTAGACATATATTTTTAGGCCCTAGGTCTTGCAGAAGATATGATCATGTGGGGAAGTTTTGATGTACCATTCACAGTTGAAAGGGAGAGTACAGTGATGTCCCATGTGTGAATTAGACCTTTTGTAGATAATGTGTCGATCTGAACATATTTCTTAAATTAATTTTCTGAGAACTTTTCTTTTTGTCCCTTTCTTGACCAAGCTGTTGGTCCGAAAACAAACTGAAGTGGAAGGAATATACTCTGCTGGGTATTTCAAGGCAGATCATATCACTGGAACAAATAATACCTCTAAAGACCAGATAAAAATATTAACTGCATCCAAATACAAGCCTGCACCATATGGTTGGTTACTAAACACTCTAAACCTCAGAAAAAGTCAGTTCCAAGTTTTAATATTGGTTTTGGTCCATCTTTATTCCAAGTAGCACTCACTAATGTTCTTAAACTGATTTTATACCCACCAAAACACAGTGCTCAAACAGCTGCATCTCCTTTCTCATTTCCTTCCCACCCCTTTTCACTTTCCCAGTCATGATAAGGATCCCAACATTTACAAGTTTAGGAATGCAGGTGGCTGAAACAAGCAGGTAGAAAGAGGGTGGATTGGGTTGAGTGTAATTGTATAACAGGCACTAAGTATGTTATATATATTATTTCACTTAACAATACAGAAAGAATTTTAAACAAATAAAAGATAATATATGCAAGTTCTTTTATTTACTGGGGTTTTGCCAAGCTTTTAATGAGGCTGAACATGTCTGAAGGTATAAAAGCCAGAAAGTGTAATATTTTACCTGCAGCAAATTACTTTACACCCCCAGGAAATGAAATTCTGATGCTTTTGAAGTCTGCATCTTTTGAAGAAACAGAATACATGGGGATGAAATATCCCAGTCTTTAGTATTTTTTGTACTTTGGGGGTGATTTGAGAGAAAATACAGGTAAGGAAGTATCTTTTCCTCATTTATTCTTCCTATAATTGTGTTTAACTTTCTGCATCATAACGTATCAGTAACCCACAAAGGAACAGAGAACTACACCTGTAATTTACAGTTTGGCTAAACTTCCTTTAATCAGAAATGGCAATTAAATGTTTGAGTCAAGAAGAGAATGTGAACTCTTTCACACATGGGATTCTCCTTGGTGGTCAGTTCACACCACTGTGAGTGTAACTCAGCATACACAGCAGTATTTAGGTACTGTTGAACCTTACTACTTTAACAAGATAATTTGTTACCACTGCTAATCTGTTATCCCACAAATTGTCAGTCTTCTGGGAATGTCTTAGAAAGTAGGACTTTTGGTTTGAGATGTTAGTTTGAGCCCATTACCAAGTACCATTTTATGTGCTATCACTGACGCTGTCAATAAAACCCCATAAATATGTCATTCTTAGGAAAATATATTTTTCTTATGGATTTTGACTGTGTCTTCAATCATAATACTCTTACCAGAAGCACAAAGTTAAAAAACAGGTCTGTTGCCAAATGGCAATCTATTCTGGCACCTCAGTTTACATTTTAATTTAATGAAAGACACCTTGTTTTACAATTATTATTATGCTGTGGTGTAAGACCCCTGAAAGGAATCCAGGTAAGTAACAGCTAAATGGAACAAAAAATATTTGTTTACCCTGGAGATGGTAATCTTTTTTATTCATGCAATTACTAATTAATGTCTCTTGTAGAGGTGAAATTTGCATTGCAGAATTACTGAGGGGGCAAAAAGAGGTAATTTTCATTTAAAACATATAGTCCATTATTGTTGTGGGCAACAGAGGAATATGCTCATTAGCACCTACATTAAAAGTTTCTAAAATACCCAGAATACTCCAAATTTCCATCATACTACCCTTACTTTAATAGCAGTAAGAGGATGAGTAAAACAGAACACAGGCTTTCGACTTGGGCAAGTTAACACAGTGCTGATGGCTTAAATGTATCCCATGGTAAATTACCTTTGAAAGGTCTCCAGCCTCCAAATAGAAGCAGATAACAAACACGTTCCATGTAACCCAAAGGACCAGCCAGACAGCATACTGCAGGGAGGAGGAGAGAAACAGTGCATTAATAATTTCACTATTAACTTAGTTCTACTTAGTTCATTAGATCATTAGTTCAATCCAAGACAAAACCAGACTATAAATATGGTGCATATGAATAAAAATGTTACATATAAAAGAGAATCAAGAATACATTATTCCCTTTCACAGACACAATCTAGAGTGAACTAGTGAGTACTCAGTCACACCAGAAAATCTGTACCCAAGAAAAGTTGATAGATCTGGCATTTGAAATTGAGACTAAACAAGATCTATTATTATTGTTCAAATGATAAATATCACAATATCAAGAGATATAATATCAATTATATAAGAAGTGCAGAGGTGTTTAATCAAGAGCCTATTCTAATATAACTTGTTAAATAACAAAGTTTAACTGAAGTAGGCACTAGATTTTGCAACACTTGGGATTTATTGTCAAAACACTAAACCTATATATAAAACCTCAAGAAACTAAACCTATACATATATAGCTTATCTTGCAGTATTTCTACAAAATATGGAAGGATTTGTTCATGACAGATTCTTCTATCAATATATTCTGTGACATTTCAAAGCATCGTTTATAATTATTCAAACACCCCCAGGGGTAGATTGTATTTTAAATGGGCAATTTATCTGGGTTTTTGTTTTGTTTTGTTTTCCAGTGTATACAGGAGTCATAGAATGGTTTAGGTTGGAAGGGAAATTAAAGACCATCTAGTTCCAACCCCCCTGCCATGGGTACGGACACCTTCCACTAGACCAGGTTGCTCAAAGCCACATCCAGCCTGGCCTTGAACACTTCCAGGGATGAGGCATCCACAGCTTCTCGGGCAACCTGTTCCAGTGCCTCACCACCCTCTCCATGAAGAATTTCTTCCTGACATCCAATCTAAATCTACCCTCCTTCAGTTTAAACCCATTCCCCCTTGTCCTGTCACTACAGGCCCTTGTAAAATGTGTCGTCCCCCTCCCCCAACTCCGCTTCCTTGTAGACTCCCTTCAGGTGCTGGAAGGCTGCAATAAGGTCTCCCCTGTGCCTTTCTCTTCTCCAGGCTGAACAAGCAACATTCTCTCAGTGTTTCTTCATAGCAGAGGTGCTCCAGCCCTCTGATCATCTTTGTGGCCTCCTCTAGACTTGTTCCAACCAGTTGATATTCTTCTTAGGTTGGGGGCTCCGGAGCTGGATGCAGTAATGCAGGTGGGGTCTCTACCCCCGCAGAGTAGAGGGGCAGAATCACCTCTCTCGACCTGCTGGCCACACTTGTTCTGATGTAGCCCAGAATACGATTGGCTTTCTGAGCTGCCAGCACACACTGATGGCTTATGTCCAGCTTTTCATTCACTATTAGCCTCAAATTCTTCTCCTCAGGGCTGCTCTTGATCCACTCTCCACCCAGCCTGTACTTGTGCTTGGGATTGCCCCAACCCAGGTGCAGGACCTTGCACTTGGCCTTGCACTTGGACCTTGCACAGTGGCCCACCTCTCCAGCCTGTCAAGGTCCATCTGGATGGCATCCCTTACCTCCAGCGTTTTGACACCACACAGCTTGGTGTCATCAGCAAACTTGCTGAGGGTGCATTCAATACAGTGTCCATGTAACTAACAGAGTTTGAACTGCAGCGGTCCCAATACTGACCACTGAGGCATGTTGCTTTTCACTGGGTCCACTCAGCCATTGGACCATTGACCACAACTATTTGTACTGCGACCATCCAGCCAGTTTCTTATCTACTGAGTGGTCCACATGTCAGATCCATGTGTCTCCAATTTAGAGAAGAGGTTGTTGTGCGGGACAGTGTCAGATGCTTAGCACAAGTCTAGGTAGATGATATCAGCTGCTCTTCCCTTATCCACCAACACTGTAACCCCATTGTAGAATGCCACCAAATCTGTTAGACATGATTTGCCCTTAGTGAAACCATATTGGCTGTCACCAATCACCTTCTTAGTTTCCATGGGCATTAGCATAGTTTCCAGGAGGATTTGCTCCGTGATCTTGCCAGGTACAGAAGTGAGACTGACTGGCCTATGGTTCCCCACGTTGTTCTTATTTCCCTTTTTAAAGAAGGGGGTTATGTTCCCCCTTTTCCAGTCAGTGGGAACTTCACTGGATTACCACGACTTCTGAAACATGATAGGTAGTGGCTTGGCAACATCTTCTGTCACTTCCTTCAGGACCTGTGGATGCATCTCATCAGGTCACATAGACTTGTGCACTTTCAGGTTCCTCAGATGGTCTCAAACATGGTCTTCTTGTACAGTGGGCAGTTCTGCATTTTCCCAGTCTGCCTTTCTCTTCTGTGACTTGAGTGGTGTGGCTTGACCACTTGCCGGTGAAGACTGAGGCAAAAAGTTGTTGAGTACCTCAGTTTTCTCCATGTCCTGGGCAACTAGGTCTTCAGTTTCATTCCAGAGACCCCACATTTTCCCTAGTCTTTCTTTCATCACTGACATACCTACAGAAGCTTTTCTTGTTGCCCTTGATGTCCCAGGGCAGATGTAATTCTATCAAGGTTTTAGCTTTTCTGACCTGATCCCTGGCTGCTTGGACAACGTTTCTGTCTTACTCCCAGGCTACCTGTCCTGGCTTCCATGCTCTGTAGGCTTCTTTTTTGTGTTTGAATTTGTCCAGGAGCACAGTGTTCATCTGTGCAGGCCTCCCAGCGTTTTAGCCTACTAATTCTTTGTTGGGAGACATTGCTCCTGAGCTTTGAGGAGGTGATCCTTGATTATTAACCAGCTTTCTTGAGTCCCTTTTCCCTCCATGGTTTTATCCCATGGTACTCTACAAGCAGAGTCCTGAAAATGATGATGTTAGCTCTTGTGAAGTCCAAGACAGTGAGCTTGCTGTGCACCCTCCTCGCTGCCCTAAGGATCTGGAACTCCACCTTTTCATGGTCACTGCACCCAAGGCTGCCCTTGAGCTTCACATTCCCCACCAGCCTCTCCTTGTTTGTAGAAGAAGGTCGAGCACATCACCTGTCCTTGTTGGCTCCTCTATCACTTGGAGAAGAAAGTTATCAACAATGCATTCCAGGAACTTCCTTGATTACTTACGCTTTGCTGTACTCATGCTTAGGCAATATCTGTTCATTGCTGGTTGCCAAACTTCTTATTCACATGCCTTATGTGAGTAATGGAGTACAAGTTTTCTCTTCTGTATACTACTTTGCTTCCTTTTCTGTATTCACAAAACCTTATGTGCTAGGACTGGAAACCTATTTTCCCACCATAATGCCAGAGGATCTTATATAATCAAGTTTGAACTGCTGTTGCTACTCTTATCTAATGTTTTTACATGAGAACCTCCCTTGACAAATTGTTCCATCATCTAATAAACCTGAGGATCTACAACTGTTTTTCTAATGACTGTTGTAGCTATCCTCTATTTGTTCATAATTCAATTCTGCATGATTGCTAATTTCATTCCACAGACCCATGGCACTGCATATGTATGAAAGAAATATTACAGAGACATAACAATATTTACTACCTGTTATAGCTGAGGGCTATTTTCTCCTTATATATCACCAATCCATTTCTCTCTAGTATTTACAGAATTAGTCTTCTTGTTTTGTTGTCTTTTCTCCAAACTGTACTGATTAAACTTTGTTAAACTACTTTTCCAAATCAGGAAAGTGTGTTTTCTGCACAACTCTGTACTATATGACCTTCTGAATAAGCAGACAATATTTTAGACTGTACACTATTCATCCCTTAGAAAAATACATGACAAATCATTGTTAGACATGAATGACAATCTCATTCTTTAAATTCAGTAACAACCTATGTAGGATTCTTCTTAAATTTCTCTTGGAAGAGTTATTTCACATCAGAATCTCTATCATACAAAGTGCTGTTTTCCAGTTAATCTTCTAGGTACTGTGAAAAAGAAACAATACTGTCCTTTCTGAGGTGATCTAAAATGAGACTATATCCAAAATTAGCAAAATTTAGACCTAGTCTAACTACTTACTTTTATAGATAACCAAATAATTGCCAATCAGTCTTGCTATTAGGTAGAACATGTACAGATTTTAAAGAATTATAATAAATATTGTCTTGATGTAATGGAAGCTAGAACAGTTTTAAAGGTTTTAATTGCTTTACACAGAAGTAATTTTAGGTACTTTAAACCATACAGATTACACATACTTTATAGGACAGCTTTTTATGCTTCACAGATCTGGTCACAGATCACAGATTTTATTTAGGTCAGGAGGGACCCTCTGGAGGTCATCTGGACCAATTGCTGCTCAAAGCATGACCAGCATAGGTCAAGTTGTGCAGGGATTTGTCTAATTGAGGTCTGAATATCTCTAGAGATGGAGATTTCATGGATTCTCTTATGTGGATCTAGTCTTTGAGCATAGGCTGCTCATAAAACTTTGGAACATAAGAACTTAAATCAGATGCATGGTCTTAACACACCTTTTTTTTTTTTTTTTTTTTATCCCAACTTGAGGTATTAAGTATACGAGCATTTCATTTTCCTGTAGCTTGCTCATTGCACATGTAGCTTCACATGTAACGTGAAGTGTTATAACTACCAGAACAAGAGAAGCAAGCATTAGTTTAGATTTAATAACCTTAATTCGGCTTTTTTTTCTAACCTTGCAGCATTTTAACTTGTTGCTTTTTGCCACTTATTTTCATACTTTAATGTTACATACAAGTATACATATATTCTGATGGAATTAATACAAGTATTCCCTCTGACACATGAAGACAATTAGATATCTTAGAGTGAAAATTCTATATACTGCATTTAGACAGGTTTCCCAAAGTAATGAGGCTTAAGCAGTAATGTGCAACCTTTGTTCCCCCAAAATAAATTCTGTGCTCCTGAACAATTTTAAGCAAACTGGACAAATATATGGAAAATTCAAAGATATTTTTTTCACAGAAGTTTCAGGAAAATAGTCCTAAAAATGGGAAGACATACTCTATTAAGTTCTCATACAGAGAGAAAGACTTATAAGATCATCTT